TTAATCAAGTTGCATGGTACAACCCCGCCCTTGTCCCGCAGCTCTAGCCAAATAGCAGCAACTTCATTATAAAACGACATGAGGCATCCGCCCAGCTTCCCCTTTTTATCCACCAGCTTGAGCATTAGCCAAAAAAAAACCGAAAAAAAAGAAAGAAACAAATTAACTTTGGCTTGGCAACGGACAACAGACAACCATTTCAGCCTTGTCTTCTCTTGTCTCTTGGATTTTTCTTGGCTTTTTTCCTGCCTCTTTTTTTTGGTTGGTACCCCTTGTCTTGGCCAGAAGCAGCAGCAGCTTGACAGCGAGATAGACAGACAGATCGGCAGAGACGGAGGTTTTCACACCACCAGCATTTCCATTACGAAATTTTGAGGTATTAGTCATAGAGGGAATGCGTTTAGAAACGAAACGAAAATAAGCTTCTTATGCTCCAAATGCATTAGTTTTTTTGTTATATTTTTATTTGTTTTTTGTCTTCAGTCGGCTTGCTTTCCCACACGCTGTCAATACACAAAAAGTTTTCCAACAACTTTTCGCGGAAGAAGAGGAAGCAGATCTCCGATTTCAACTTTTACTTGTGCGCTGACTAAAAACGATTTTTGACAGTTGGTTAATTAGAAAACTGTCGTAATGAATTTGGCGTTGAAGTTTATGAAGCTCCAAGATAGGAGAAGATAATTCGAAATGGAAAACACTATTTTTCTTTTTGAATGGAAAAAGAAGAGAAACCCGTAATATTCAGTAATCGAAATTTAATTGGGTTTTTTGTGTGGTTAAGAAATAGCCCTCAAATTAAAAATCGAATCTTAAATATTAATAAGACTTCGATCATATTTTCTTCATCGTTCAGACATATTATTACAACCTTTCTCAATACTGAAAATCGTACACTTTTTATCAGGTCAAGCGCAATAGAAAGTTAAATTAAATTTCATAATTTAAAATCGAGAGGCTTACGAAGAGAAATACGATGTTTTGCCTTGGACTTTTGGTATGGCCACGCCTCCTTGGTGTTGTAATTAATTGACGGCGGGTAAAAGGGAAATCTGGGAAAGCCCCTTGATATGTGTGCAAACATAAAACAATTATCGCAGCGGCATTTGGGGAAAAGGAGAGTCGGAGAAAATGGGAAAAATACCCTAGAGCCGTGTCGAAGAAGAAAGGCCGCCATGGAGAAAAAAAATCAGAAAAAAAACTAAAACCCAAACTAAATCAGAGCGACAACTATCACTTTGAGCCAAGTATTTTCTATATGCACAACCCGAACAACTTTTACCCGAAAAGGTTGTTTTCAAATTTCGCTGTTTTTGTTGTTGTTGCAACAGCACCATGCCACATTACCTTTCGCTTGGAGCGGACTCTTCCTCCCTGCTGGCTCCTTTCCTTCCTCCCCTTGATATACATTAATTTTTGTCATCACCCAGGACGGGAGAAGCCAAGCTAAACCATGGCAAGGCTCATGGACTCCTCCAACTGGGAGCCACCTGCGCAGTGCGCACTCCACCTGGCTCCACCTGGCGGTCTTGTTTTGTCGCAGATCTCCTGACTTGGTCAACATTTGCCCGCGGCGCCTGGTGTGTGAAAGGTTTTCCAATGATCCAGTGCTTAAAAGGGGGAGGGGAGCACAGCAAGATTGCTCCATTCGATTTGGCTCATATTTCAAATTGAGTCAACCTATTAGGTTCCCAGGAAAAATGCAAACTAACAGTGGAAACCAAAAATAAAAAAAAAATATTGAACCTTAGCTTGGAGTTTCATGGTTCCTTTAGTGCTTTATAGATTATTTTTAATCCATTTTTATAATTACAATATTAAAGTGGTAAATATAAGATGAATGCTTTATAGTTAGGTAGCTTACTGATTTTTCTATATATAAGCAAAAGTTATGTCATTAGTTGTAGTTCGAGTTTGAGGAAAAGAACTGAAATAACGACGCTGGGGCGGTGCTAATGCAAATAGGTTAATTGTGAATTAGCCCATTGACTAGAGGATTCCAGGGAAGCCAGACTGCGTGTGGAAAGTAAATGGCCAAAACCAGCTCAAACGGAAGCCATGCCAAAATAAACTGCGACACTTTCCGGGGATACAATAATGGCCAGAGGATAGAAATATGTATAACCTGTGGCCATTAAAAGAGCAAAACTTCCAAATTTGGCAGAGCCACAATGTGGTGACCTTTTTTGTTTAGCTTTTTTTTCTTCTTCTTCTTCTTTGGTTAGCCGGCGTGTGGATGGTAATTAGTCTAAGCCCGGCTAACTGGCGGTCATTAAGATGGTCGGAATATCTTCGCCACATTGACAATAAGTGCATGGATATTGTAACCGAATGTGCCGCATGTGGCATGAGGCAGGCATGGGCTAAAAAGTCAAACGCAACTTTCGCTTTCCATTTGATCGGGCCGCATTCGGGTAAGTTGGTAGGTTCACATGCATGAATGAATGAGAGTCCACTTGGCTGGCGGCTTAACTGTTTAAATAATTATTACTTGTTCGTCACTTGCGCAAAAATTGCCCATTTACCGTTGCTTTGTTAGTTTTTCCTCTCAACCCTGCCGTTCCAAAAAAAAAAAAAAACAGAAAGAAAAATAATGAAAACAAAGCGGAGAAGAAACAAGTCTTTGTCAAAAAAAAAAAAAAAAGAAAGAGTAGAAAAAAAAGAAGAGTTTTACGCTCCGCTGCCTGTGCTAACAAGCCTGAAGACATTTTAATAAGAACACTTTGCGCACACACTTCGCCGGGTTTTGTAGAGTGTGCGACAGTTATGATCGCAATTACCCCACTCACCAACCCAACCCGAACTGCGAGTGTGAGGCATTTCAGCGATTTCCCCACGCAACGCCACTCGCAAAACTCCACAGCACTGGGAAAATCAATTTCAATGATAGATAACAAAATGCCAATTTGAATAACAACAAGATCTAATTTTGCAATTGATTTTTCAATCGCCTTGATGTTGAGTTCGGAAAGCTTGTCATGACCTCTTAACATATGATCTTCTTTGAGCGGTTATAAGGACTTCCCTTCTTCATAACATCAATACAATGATACAATGCCTCTTAGTTAAAATCTCAGGTTTTCTCTCAGTGTAGCTCTATTCCCACTTCTTGCCTTCCTGCTCACTCTTCAAGTTGTTCACACACTTGTGGCGACCGTTTAACGGTTGTTTTGCCTTTGCGGCTGCGCTTCTGACGCTTTGTCATGTTTTTAAGGGCCAAGAAAAGCTTGGCAAAGAAGAAGCCGCCGCCGTGTAGTGTAATATAATTAATTAGGTGCAGCCACAGCAGAAGCAACAACGGCTGATACCATCCTCTTCCGCCGAGGCACACAATTTGGGTTGCACTTTCTAGCAGGAAGCCGACGCACCTTTACCTCCAAACACCCACTTTTCCCTTTCCCGTTGCACTCAATACAATTCTGATGGTAGAAAGTTTTTAATACCCGAAATGAATGCTAAACTGGGAATTGCCCCTATTATTTATGCTCATTGTTTTGTGGCGCCACACTTTAGCCTTAGCTTTGGCTCTCTGGCATTGTTTAAACTAACAGTAATCGGGCAGTAATTACAATGCAATTTTGGTTAATTATCGCAAAAGTGTAACAAAAGTAGCGGGAATCGCTTGACGACTCTCACTTTCCTGCGAAGATGAGTGCGTGCCGTATGGCTAGCAGCAGATGGTGCATAAAAAAGCAATCTTTTAGCCCACTGAAAGCCCGCTGATTTGATTGACGCCCCAAGGAAGGCGTCTTGCAGTAGTAAACTAGCAATAGCAAATGGCCAAGAGAGCGACCAAAAGCAAATGTTGACAAGTGAATGGTCTTTGGCTTTCCGAGCCTGGGGGCAAATGCTCCAACCACCAACAGGAGAGAGATGGAAGTCGAAGTTGGGATTGAAGTTGGAGTTTGAGCTTGAGCTGGAGCTAGAGCTAGAGAAGTTGGTAGCATCCACAGTTCAGCTAACTGTTGCAGAGTTTAATTGACGTCTCATGCTGGCGGCAGTAAAATGCATTCACAGAAACCTCAGATACACTCGGATAGCCGCAGTCTTCGATGGCTGACAGTGCGGTTCACAAATGCAAGACAGCTCCGATTTTGGCCAAATTAAAAGATCAAATGTCTGAGGTTAATAGGGGAAATCAAATTATGGAATAGTTCTTTTAAAATTTGAACTTCATTCCCATTGATAACCGAAAGTTTATAGTACCATGAAACCATAAAGAACTTGGCTTTATGCCCACAAACTATACTCCTTAATATAAAACCAATAACTTTATTTTTAAATTTTCTAAACGAATAAAACGAAGCCTTTACGATTTTCAAAGTTCATGCAAACGGATACGACCGTATTAAAACGATTGCCTTCCCTCAAGTTTATGATTTCTTATTATAACAATTATTTTGATTTAGTCCTGCTGCGTTGCCTAAGCCAATTTTAATAAAAAATGATTACCCGCAGAGATCTGGCACCATCTTGGCCTTACAGCTCCGGCTGGCACTGTATTTGATGGTTTTGGGCAACGTTGCGTGGATGGCGACTGACTGACTGACTAACTTGACTGACTGAGTACTGAGTGGCTGGTGAATGCCACAAACCATAACATTTTTGGCCAGCCTTTTGTCTCGGCTGCAATTCTTTATGCCGGGGTTTCCACTTAATTGCGATGCAGCTGAAGGAAGATGAGAGATGCATCTTGGCGTGACTTCTAATGCCCATTGAGTGCTCACCCAGCCAGCTCCGTCTTAAACTCGATGAGTGCAGCTCTCCTTCTTCTACTCTGTTCCTCTGGCAACTCTAAATCCATCTCCATTTCCATCCACAGTGATGATGATTAGACACAGACATTAAAAGCATTTCCCCGCTCTTCAGCTCCAAGTTTTCCTCATCGGCGAGCGTGTGGAAATTTGTGAATTATGCACTGTGCCATATCAATTACCGAGCGTAAAAGAATGAGCTTGTAATTAATGAGTCTCTCTCTCTCTGTTTTTCTTCGTTTTTTGCAGGGTGCTCAGGGCTCCGGGCGGCGGATCGAGCGACATCTTTGGATCGGAGATGCCGCAGACCCCCAGGAACGTGAAGAATCGCATGGCGTCCAACATATTTGCTGCCGAGAAAGATGGTGGAGTGAAAAACAACGGTAAGACCCAGGTCAAGATACTAAACCCATTTTCCATCCCTTTAAATGTGATCCCTGGCAATTACAAAGGAAAAAATGAACTTTAGTTGCTTGTTCTATTATTTGAATTGGAAAATTGTGTGCCTATATGATGAAAGATGTCTATAGATGATGATGTGGATTATGGTCTTTTAAATGCTTATTAAATGTCTATCGTTTTCTTCCCGTTCTCGTTCTTCTTTTTTTTCCTATCCCGCTCTATATCTTTTTCTTTTCTACGTATCTTTGCAGTACGACAAGGAGCTCACAGATTCTATTTCATTGGTACTTGAACTATGTCTCCCCTTTCCTAATTCATGTCAACAACAACTGCACACACAGTCCTTACCCAGTGTTAACCCAAATGAACAAAAATTGTATTCACTTGATTTTCGTTTTGTCGTCAGTTTTGTGCTAATTTATGTTCCAATGCAAGTTCTCAGCTCGCACTGATATACCCCGACTTAACCCAGAACACAGAGCTCACCCACTTCCCACAGAAATACTGACCCACTCCCACTCGAGAAGTTGCAATTCCAACCGGTTAGCTTCCTTTTTCCACCTGCTGCCGATGACATTTCGAGTTCAAACAGATAAAAGCCGAAAAAAGAACTCAAGGCCTCCTCTCCTCTTTCAGTTTTGGTTAACCTTTGACATATAACACTAAAACAAAAAAATATAGCCAACCGGAAAATTTCAATAATTTTTTTCGAATTACAATCAGTTCATAGCATTTTGAATGAATGCTGATTTCGTGTCAAGTTAAAATAAATAATTTTGCAGGACGGCACTACACAGAAAACACTATTTCATTTTATAAAAAAAATGTGCTTCTAAGAAATACTTAACCACTTATGATTTATCTCAGTGTATACACCCATCCACTGTCCCATTTATGTACATGTTTGTAAAACACAGTTAAGAAACTAATTTAAACATCTACTCCACCACAATTCCACTAATTTGAATGTTTTATTTTCTTTGGTTTTCCCAATTTGTTTGTTTTTTCCTTTGGATTTGTTACCCCTGCAATGCTGATGACAATGCGCAGGTGATGCACCACGTCGCGGCCAGAAAACCGTGGACTCGCACTCTCGGCTGTTTGGGGAACCCTCCCGCCCGATCACGCCCGGCAAAAACCATATGAAGAGCAGCATTCCCTTTGGCGGACAAAACTCAGAGGCAGCTGCCGCTCAGAAGCTCCTGACCACCAATGGCCACTACAATGGCAAGAGCGGATCGGTGTCCTCGGCCTCGTCTTCGGTTTCGTCCTCGACTGAGAATCTCAAGATGAACAGTGGCTCAAGATCAGGTAAGAATCATTCGCTGTAACTTTATTAAATAGTAGGAGTCGCTGGATTTGAACTCGATCAAAATACTGAGCTGTCAGAATGAGGAGCCAGTCAAGGACTGGAAATCCATTCAGTACGAGCCTAGAGCACAAAGTAGCTACACCGATTATTACTAAAGCGCTTGAACCAAAATTTTATATTTCGAGATAAGTTGTGATTTAAGCTCTCCTGCATATATAAACTTGTATATATTTTTTACTGCACGCGCGCACCTAACTCGTTTACCCATAACTCGTTAACTACTCGGCCGCCGATTCTTGCTGATAATCTTACTCTGCGTCAGTCCTCCGCAATATGAGCAGTGAGTACTTGTAGTGTCCAGAACCCCAGAACTTCATCCCCGATTCGCCTGCGATCTATCCTTATCCATATCTGCCCAGCAGCAGGACAGTATACCAAAGAATCATCACAAGATACATTGTGCCCACCAACTCCGGTTGTGATACCCGAACCAAAACCACAGACTGACGTCCTATCCATTGATAAATCGTGTCGTGATAGCGAAATAGGTGACGTCCCAGAAGATAACTATACTTTCAAAAAGTCCGATCAGGTGGACGAAGCCAATCAAACACGTCGCGACTCTGGCAATAATACCGATCAGCCACATTCGCTGAACAAAATGGCAGGCGTACCGGATCTAAAGGAGCCATTGGGACTCTGTCCGAATGATATTAAGGAGCCACACCAAGAGTGCTCCAAACTCGATTCTCGCAATCCGATAACTGGTCTCGGTCTCAACGGAGATGGTGTTGGCGGTCTCAAGCCCAAGAAAATCAAGATTCGAGGTGGGCGTTTTGTTCTGCTTACCGTTTCCTAAATCTTTCCCCAAGTCACAATTTAAGCCAAATAAGTTTTTTTAAGTTCGAGCTTCATCCGAGTTTATAGTTTTTGATTTGATTTTCTTTAATAATTTTTTCAATTAACTAATTTTCTTTTTCTTCCGTTTCCACAGAGGGCAACCCCGTCACAGGTGAGGGCTACAAGGCAGGAGGCAACGATTACCACCAGCGCCAGGAGTCGTCCAATGGTGGCACTCCGGTGATCAATAAGAACCGTATCCCTCCAGGCGGCTTCTCGTCGGGGCTCTGGTAATAAAAACAGGAATTGCTCAGATCCCAGCACAAGCAATGAGGGAGGGGGCCGTTGGCGGGACGAGACACCATAAGAAAAAACAAACAAAACAAGCAAAAAAAAATCATACTACCCATATAATATTACGCATAACCCTACCCGTATCCAAGAATCAAACAGCTCTGAAACTGAATTGGCAGATCGAAAGGATATGGCCAACGAATATTTAAGCGAGAGAATAAAAATTGCTCAACGATCTAAAGATGCCGGAAACAATTATCGCTGCTGTACACCAAGACGAAAATTAATCAACCACATTTAGGTGGCGGCGCAGTATACCTATCACTACCAACTACCAACTACCAACCACCATACCAACACCACCACCACAACCCCATTGCAAAACTGTAATTTAAATTCCTTAGTTCGTGTAATTCCATGAAATCGGGTGTAGCCTGTAACCCCAACCAAAATACGCCCACGTTAAGACATCTGATCACCGCCCTGCGGCACCTGCTTATAAACCTACATCAAACCCGGTATGTGCGTACGTGTGAGCGGGAAGCAAGGATGCGAGCAAAGGCGGCCGGATGGGGATCTTCAAATCACACTTTCGATTTTATTCTAGTTGCATACTACACGCCACATCTATATTTATATTTATACCAACCGCATCCACACGAACACTCACTTACACATACAAATTAAACATTGTATTACATTACATTAAATATGTAATTTAAACGGTACGATTGCACGTACTAATGTGCACGTACTAATTAAGTGTAAAAATACAAAATTCAAGCGCGAATATTTGTTCAATAAAAACCTTTCGTACATAATTGTGATCTTTCTTAAATTTGGAGGAGGAAATATATCTTGGAATTTTGGGATCATCTGACTGTTGCTTACGAAAGGGGAAGATTGACTCCTAAGATAACACTCCTCCCAAAAGAAAATTCCGTTTGTTTAATTTGACAGCAAAAAGCTGTTTTTAAAAAATGTTTTGGAGGAGGAAATATATCTTGGAATTTTGGGATCATTCTATGATGCTCTAGCTTACGCAAGGGGACTCGTAGGATGTAGGCGGTGTTTGCTTTGAAACGTATTTATATTTATATAATTTTATGGAGTCCTCACAAGTAACACTCCTCTCAAAAGAAAAATCCCTATTGTTTAATTGACAGCAAAGCTGTTTTTAAAAAATGTTAATTACTTTTGCGCCTTTTTTTTAAACAACATTTAAATATCGATAGTCAATGCGCTGCTTATCGATTTATAGTACCATCGTCTGGCAACGCTGTGTCGCGCCGTCACAGTTTATTCGCGGCTCGTGACTGCGGCGCCGCAAACAAAATGGCTCTGATTTTTGCAGACTAGAAAAAGTTGTTGGTTTTACCATATTCCCGATGCAATAGTGAGCTTAAAGCAAATGCAAAAAGACCAAGTGTCGAGTTCGCGGTTGTGGCGACGGTAAAGATGGAAGCTGGTGTCCGGGATACAAAGGCAGAGCTCCTCAAAGTGAAAAACCAGGCAGCAGTCGTTTTGGCCATTTGTGGCATATAGGATACGAAAACTAGTTCTTACGCACACACGCACGTACTCACACTGAAGATTCGCTGAAGACGCAACTCACGCACAAAAACCTCTTAGGTGGCCAAAAATGGAGGGCATGGATCTATGGACGTCGATGTTCTCATCCGATTTTGAGGAGGGTGAGCCGGAAGCGGAACCGGAGGGCAGCGAGCAATACGGAAATGGCAATGATGATTTCATAGGAGATTCGGAGATCCTGGAAGCAGGAGACGCCATTGATGATCTGCTCGAAGGCGAAGACGATGAAAGGGAAGAAGAGGAGTACGAGGATAGCCCAAAGGCAACAAAGAAACCTGATCCCGACGACGATGCTCTTTTTGACTTTGATACGGAGCCTATTGTAAGCATTGCCGAGCCAAATAACTCGGTTTTGGCCCCTGCGGGACCCATGGGCCATCGTGTTCGGCCCCCGACGCAGCGTCAATCAGTGCCCGGTGCTTTGGGTCGACCCAGAATAGGTCCTGGTCTCTCCGTAAGACCCACCACCTCGCAGATCAATGCTACGGATGAGAATGGGGTGCCTATTAACTACGAGCTGGGCGTGGTCTACATCTGCCCTGCCTGCGGCGGAGAGTTCCGCCAACAGGACCACTGGAAGCGGCATATGAACCACATCCACAAGTACAACACCCTGCGTGGCTTGAATTTCACGCCGCTAGATAAACTTTATCAGCGCTGCAAGGAGTGTAACAAGCGAATCGCTATGCATAGCCGGGAGAATCTTCTCAAGCACAAGTTCACTCACCTGCCCTTCAGGTGTACCAAATGCTACTTCTGCAAGCGGGAGTACAAATACAGGTAGTGCTTATAGTACGCTATCCAAGACCTACGTCTAAATCTTATTCTCTATTTAAGGCAAGATCTTATGGTTCACCTGCGCTTGGTACACTGTGACGAAGTGGTGGCCATGATGCGGGGGGGATATAATGCTGCAGGCCGTAAGACGCGGGTTAGGGAATCTAGAACCGAGCAATTGCAGCGGGAAAAGAGCTTCCGAGAGAATAATGACTTTGAGGAGGAGGAAGATCGCATAGAGGTGCGGAATGAGTTGCTCGAGCCAGATGCGGATGAGGTCGGTCTCCTGGAGCAACCTTTGGTGGAGGAAGTTTCCAAGAAGAAGGTTTCACGAAATCGAGGGGCTGCCGAACTGTGCGAGGATTACATACACTACATGTGCCCCGACTGTGGAACCGAATGCGACACACATGCACAATGGAGTCAGCACATCGAGTTCGTTCATGACTACGTGAGCCGAAGGGGACTTAATTTCCGGAGCGTAGATATGCAGATGCAATGCCTAGAGTGCAAAAAGGTGAGCGCAAAGATACTAAGATAGTTTTAGCAACAAGGGTTTTCGGGCTTCAATTCTCAATTATTATTCCTATTGTTATCTTTCATCTTAAAGATTGTGATTCCAAACACCATAAAATCGCTGCGCTCCCACAAATTCAGCCATTTGTCGCAGCCAGAGTGGCTGCGCTGCAAACTCTGCTACAGGGGTTTCACGGATCATCAGGAGGTGATCAGACATCTGCTGCAGCAGCACCACATGGATTCGCTGATGTCGGAGGAAATTGAGGACGAGGATGGTGATGGTTCGTTATCCATAATGCAGCAAGAAGAATCCGTCGAGGATAACGGAAACGGCGAAGGTAGTGGCGCCCCCTTGGACGAAGACTCTCCTTACTTTGAAGACGCGCCCAGACGCGGCGGGCGCATCAGCAGCGATGACATGTTTGAGCCTCACATCGACTATCTCTGCCCGCAGTGCGGTAAAGAGTTCATCGAGAAGAAGCATTGGCGCACCCATGTGGTCATGGCGCACAGCATGAACGATCTGACGAAGCTGAACTTTGAGATGATCAACGAACGGCAACTGAAATGTACTGAGTGCGAGAAGATAATCACCAACGCGTATGGAATCCAGAATGCCCAGCAGCACAGGATCACCCATCTTCCGTTCAAGGCGTACGCCAGATGTCGCAAGTGCAACAAGTCGTACACGGATAGGAAAGGTCTCGTCAAGCATCTGGCTACTTATCATGGCGTTGGTTGGCCAAAAAGGTCCGCCGGAGAAGTTGGTGTGCCAGCTTCGTTGCCCACACCCATCAAGCAACCCCGCAAGCAGATCGTGACGGTGGCGAATGAAACATACGAGATAATTTATCTTGACGACGTCGATCAAGGCGAAATGGAAGAGGATAACGATTTTGGAGAACAGATGCAGGCGGATGAAGAGGATTACCTGATTGCACCAGCTCCAGCTCCTCCTCCACCTCCTCCTCCTCCGCCACCCTCGCAAGGACCTCATCAACGCTATAAGTGCGTCCATTGCGGTACACTCTTTCCCACCCAGGCGGCTGTACGGGTTCACATAAGCGAGAAACGTTGCAGGAAGACAGTCGGCAGAAGAAGTCGACAGGCCGTGAATTCAGCCGGGTTGGACCCATCCGTTCCCACCGTGGAACAAAACTACATCTTCTTGTGTCCTTCCTGTGGCATGGAATATAAGACTCAGTTCGAGTGGCGTCGTCACATTAATGAGGTACACAACTTTGACAAGCGGCAATATCTTAATATGAAGCAGTTGGATAAGTACCGTTACCAATGCACTCAGTGCAAGGACATTGTGTGCAATTCGAAGCTGAAGGGGTTGCAAGACCACCACTTCCGACACCTGCCATACCGACTGTATCTTAAGTGCCTAATATGTGGTACTTGCTACAATCATAAGCCGAACATTGCGGCACATTTGAGAGCCCGACACAGCATCTACGATAGAGAGGCACCGGCGATGATCACCAAACCGAAGCAGGTGTTCGGCCGCCACAAGGATAACAGCAGTAAGGAGAAACCAAGACTGTCCTCTCCGCCTCCAGCACCACCGTCTCCCCCGGCATGCTCCTCATCATCTGCTTCCTCAGTGGCCAGTCGTTCATTAAAACCACAGCCTGGGGGTTTACCCACTCGACCCGCTGGTCTCAACACATTGGAGGACAGCATCTCATACCATAATGCCGTGGATTTAGACTTCATCACGTATTTCTGCCCCAAGTGTAATCAAAACTTTGACTCACATGCATTCTGGCGAAAACACATCGTGGAGCAACACAACTTTAATAGTCGGGAAGGACTGAACTTCCGCCAAATCGATAACCATCACTACCTGTGCCTGGAGTGCTACAAGCGGGTGACCGTGACCCACACCAAAGGCGCAATCGGGCAACTGCAGTCACACAAGTTCCGCCACCTGCCGCATCGATCGTTTAAGTGCTTGACATGTGACGGCGAATTTGTACGCAAGCAAATGTTCTTCAAGCACCTGAATCGCGACACCAATCGCTGTGATAATCGCCCGCACAGAGATTTGGAAGACGATGACGCGGAACAGGAGACGCAGCTGCAATCCATTTTTCACCTGGCGTGTCCGCAGTGCGGTGACAACTTTACAACACGCAACAAGACACAGTGGCGCGAGCATATTAACGACTACCATGGTTTGGCGAAGTTGGACCTATTGCACATGAGCAAAGTGGATGACAACCTTTACCGCTGCCAGGACTGTGACGAGGAGCTACAGACAAATCGACAGTGGGTATTGCAGTTCCATCGATTCCAGCACCTGCCACATGCAGCCTACATCCGTTGTAAACTGTGCAAGCAGAGCAATGAAGCTGGTGCAGCATCGGCGGGGGAGTTACATAGCCTACGTGAACTGCAACAGCACCTACGTAAGCACCATCCAACGGTAGGCGAAAACGAAATGATATTACTCCGAGAGCAGATTGTTCTGGAGGAGAAGGAACAAGAAGAAGGGGGGGAACTGCCCGCAGACGAGGAAAGCCAAGCTGACCAAGATTCTGGACCGTATATGCCGCTACCGCCGCATTTATTGGACGATGGGGACGACATAGAATTCGAGGACCAGTATCTGCTGGGCTAGGATCCACTCATAAGAACTATTCGACAGAATAATATCCAAGGTGCAAAATGTATTCTTTCGATGATAACAAGTAATTTCATCTTATTTAAAAAATAGTTTACGGTTATATTGAAAAACAAAGACCTCGTCTTGCCCATTTTTTTAAAAATACTTATTCCGATGTATTATTTTATAATGTAATTTTTTAAGACTCCCTGAATACGAATTTTAAATTTTTAATTAATTCACATTGATTTTTATAAATATTCAAATCTAAAAAAAGGGAAGAAATTAATAAGGAATCACGTTTGTCTATAATTTTTCAGGAAAAGTGCCAAACTCAAATTGACTTCAATTATTTTAGTAGCTGTTATAGTGAAGTTTTTTTTCCAATTTTGTTTATGCAAAAGCTTGTAGCCTTGATCATAGATTACGTTTTGACACTCAGAATAACCAGTTTTTTAGTCCTAAAAATCGAATTAACCTAATTCACTTCCACGACACCTGTACTTCCAGTGTTAAGCAGAATTTGATAGCCGCCCTTAAGGGCTACCCTTTCATGAGATTAAAGAAAAGTATTCTTAGAATTTACCTATAGAAACGGCCAAACTAATTTGTTTGACTTTTAGCTATAGTTTAATTATAGACTATCCGTTTAATTACTAGCTGTAAGTACTGAAGCTATTTATTTCCCAGTCTAATCTCAATGATAATTAAATGATATCAAAATATAAATTATATTTTTACAACTTCAATTAGAGTTGGTTTATACCTTAAACCCAGCTCTTAGGCTAAATATAAAATTAGTCCAAAAAAAAGGCACTAGCGAAAACGCCTCTGTTTAATGAATGTTAATAAATAAGTCATTTAGTTCACCAACAACTTGAATTGTATTCTTGGGATGGATACAAAACATTTAAATTTAAAAACACTACTTTTTTTTTGTTAATATTTCGGTATATTTTTTTTATTAGTATTAAAGTTTAATATTAGTTTTGCCTAAAACCAGTCACAAAACTGATCTCCAACTTTTCCGGCTCGGGCCACAACAGAAGTCGTTCGTAACGCATTATCGTAGGTAAATATCAACATTCTCGTCTCAGAGTGAATATGGATAAAGTAGTAAAAATTTCAAACTATATAATCCTCCAGTCCTTGTGTCAGTTGCCTTGGGGTGGTGATTGATAATCATACGATATGTTCTCGGGGTTTTCAAATCAACGCTAACGCTAAAGTTTTAATGTTACACGATAATAATAATAAATATGTAATAAATACTTTTGAAAAGCATAAACAAATTGCACGCTTGTAATAATTGCCACTAAATGAATAATACGAAAACAAATACCGATACAAGTCCAGCCCGAATGTGCTCAACAAAAGAATTGTCTTAAAATTAGGCAAACTGATTGCATGGAATGATGTCTCCGTAATTGACTGACCAACTGACTGAACCAGTTCGCGGTCACTCGTCTCCCTTCCACTTTTGTGCACGACCTCCTCCTCCTCCCTATTCGACTTTAAACGTACAAATCTTATGCAACTATGCATGGTGTGTGTTGTTTGTGTGTTTAGTAACAATTTGTTGATGTAGTAGTAGAAGTAGTTGCGATCCCTCACAGCGTTGGCATGTTGCGTCGATGTCCGTTGCTAGACCCGCTCGTCTCCGCTTCCTGCTGCGCCTTCTGTTTGGCTCGTCGGGCTTTTTGGCGCGTGTGCTCGATCTGGAAGTCCTCGACGCGCAAGTTGAGTCGCATCATGTTGTTTATAATGAATTCCTCTTCCACGATGTGCTCTTCAGGGGACCGTAGTACGGCCAGGGTCTCGCAAAGGCCAGTGCACGTCTTTCTCACCTTATGTCGGCTTAGCGAAGCTCCAATAATGACCAGGGCCACCTTAAAAATCACTCGTATGCCTTCGGCTAGAAAACAATCCCAGACACGCAGAAGCGTCTCCCAGGGGAGAGTGCGCGTCATTGCACACAGGAACCAGTCGGTCATGTAGAGCAGTGGCTCCACTTTGTGCTTTTGTAAGTGCCGGTATACTGGTGGGCACGTTTTCTTCAGCAGTCCCTCCAGAATTCCTGCATCGTTCTGAATCACCTCTAAGCCGGGTATGAAATAGTCCTGCAGGTACCTGTAAAAATAAACAAAAAAATACTATAAAAACTTTGGGAAATTGGTGGTCCAGAGTTTCAATTGATAATTAATATTTATCATTTTAGTAAATTATTTATAAACATTAATTAATCACAAATTCCATAATGTATTACAGTATGACTATAAACTTACACATCACACACGCTGACGAACACCCAGAATGCGTCCTCCGCGGGCAAGTGCATCAATAGGAAAGCAGCTATCGGCGCCTGTGCCTGACAGAAGCCGACTTTAGGATTGTATATCGAGTAGGCCTTTAGCACATTAAAGAGTTCGATCTGTCCAACTTTCTGCTCGTCGAGAAACATTTCGTGGAACGGAAACTGGCGATGTTTGTCCTTTTTGATTTCTTCAATAGTGGTCGGGTTTCCGGGTTTTTCTAGAAGCTCGTGATATACGTTGGGGTTCTTTTTCTTTAGCAAATACGCCCCCGATAAATAGAACCAGGCTTTGGGTCGCACCGACTTTGGTATACCCTTGCGGCACCGATCTCGGATCTGCATGATATGAACAAGAAATAGTTATTATAAAATTTATAAATATAATGTCTCTCTGGCAATTTGTTATTGGTTTTAAGAGCCCAAAATTGAATATTACATGCCATATTTACATATTTGATTTGGATGAAAATGAGCTCACTGCTCTCTAAATGGGCAATTAAACATTTGTCAGATTTACCGAGAGATTATTTGTACAGTGTACTACGGACTCACCTTTTTGTAATTTTTGGACATGTATATTGACCAGTTGTCGATCATGTAGAGCCATTTTTTCTCCCGCGCAATTATCTGTGCCTTGGACAGCGGCTCCTTGGGCTTGTCAGAGCGCTGGAAACCGCCATAGAATCCATTTCGATCCGGGCAGCTGGAGACGGTCGAGCAGAGGGAGATGGTGTCCAGGGATCGCGGTGCCGTGGCCATCGCCTACACCAGCTCTCCGGCCGCAGCAACAGTGAACTGAAAACACAAATCGTTACACGATCAGCATATACGCCCACTAACAGCACCCACTAATTGTGTATGCAAATTCACTGGTACAGGGGTATAGATAAATAGTCGGGAGAGACCCTCTCCATACTTGGATAACAACAAGTGCGCAATTAAGTGCACTACTTGCCTGCCTCTCTTTCTCTTTTGCTTGGGGAATGAATCTTTTTGATGCCCCACATTATTATTTTCGACAATCTCACACCGTTATCGTTATCAGAACCAAGTTGGTAAACGTGAAATTAGGCTATTTCGGGGTGATAACTTAATAATTGACCATGAAATATGATAGGCTCAGGGTCACACCTCATCTTCGTGGAGCAGATCCAATTGGCTGAGGCTACAGCTTAGGTGCGAAAGATACAGAAAAGGCATTGGCCACCAACTGAACGGAAATCTAATTCGTTCACTTGGTAATATTAAAGGCAAAGACGGTCATAAACAGCTGTTGATTGGTCCCTAATCGCTGGAGTTAGGTAATTGGTCATCAGCAGTTGGCTCCAAACAGAATGGGACAGTGAAAATACTCGTATAAATCTATTAGATTCTCCCATCCTTAATGACAGTGGGCCACGGTCTGCCACCGGTGGCACCACATGCATCGCCGGATGCTCGAGTTTGCTTAATGAGCAACTCACTTCACTTCGGCGGCAATCACAAAAACAACAGCTAATTGAGGGAACTGTGTCTGCGGCAGAACAAGTGACTGAATAATTGCAACAGCACGACAAAAGAAGAAAGAAATAAGGGCTAGATATTTGAAGATTCGAGACTTTTGAACTCCCTATATTGTGTCGGATTCAGAAAAACATTTTTAGAAAATCTTATGTTCTAAAACAACTGACTAAGATTGAGTCATATACTCCAGTTTCTGAGTAAGATTGACAAGAATTATCTATTTAAAAAGAATATACTCTACTTAGAAAGTGACATCAAGCCAAATAATTAAGATATTATTTTGCTTTTTATTAATTGTTTATATTTTTGTCAATTTATTTCAAATATTTAAAAAAAAAAGTCAAGGGATCAGATTCGGATAACTTTCTGGAATATGAACAAATGTTTTAAAAAACATTCACTTTTAAAGAAAAAAACATATTGAGATTAAAACTATGAGTAAGCTTTTTATAAAACTAAAGTTTTTGTATCGTATTTCAATAAAAATCATTATATTCTTTGTAAACTAGCGTAAAAATCAGCGAAAGGGGGAAAACGCGATGCAAAAGCAGTGCACGAACACAAATGCAATCTGTCGAAGACAACGATATATCCGACAAATTGCGACCTTCGAGGTTTACCGATCGGGGAACAGAACGAGAACCCTTATCGACCGCCGAGTGATATAAAATAATATCGCAAGCCTCGGCGGCGGCGTTGTCACCTTAGTGGGTGGGCGTTGGGCGGTGGGTGGTGAGTGGCGTGTTGGAAACGAAACTATTTTAGCCCATTTATTTCTTAACTGACAATTTGGCTGCCATTTTGCCTACGCGCTCCAAAATGAGTAAAGCCTTAGCGTAGTGTGTGTATGTGCACAATACAGGGCAATTGTTGTTATTAACAGTGAAACGTTCCTACACCGCTCGCCCCCACATTCACATGTAAACTTTTCGCCTCACCTTTTGCTATGCTGTTCTCGTTGTTGTTGTTGCTGCCTTTGCTGGTATTGTTGCTTCCGTGGAATGCGCAATAATTTATATTTCACGTTGGTTGTAGGTTTCTTTTTTGAGTGGTTTTTCCAGCACACACTTGCGCCAGCACAAATGTGTTGGATTTTATTGTGAAAACATAATATCCGAAGAGCTTTTTGTTTATTTTCTATGCAAAATAAGGGAGAGCGAGATTGGCGATGGCAACGAAGCAACTACTTGCGATAGTCGATGAAGCTATCGATATTTAACCACGTAAAAGTTGGCAACGTTGTTTGACGCTTACGTTGCCAGAAGTTATAAAACCTGATTGCGAAAAATTTCAAAAGATTTGAAATGGTAAATTTATTTGTTGTTTTTTAACTAACAAACAGCAAATCATCCGGGGAGCTCAGAAATCCACTTGGAACCTACTTTTAAATGTACCACTCGCCACATTGGCAGCCAAATGAGTGGAAACACCTGCACAATCGAAAATTCGGAAAATCTGCTAAGGATTTCCCGCCACGGACCAACGCTGGTGACCTTGTACAAAAGCACCATCGACATGGCACTGCTAATGAGCATCAGTCTAACGAAGATTTGGCGTTCGTGAGAACTAAGATTCTTGAAGTTTCCCGCCAAGATGCAGAGAACAATCTGCCAAGGCAGAAGCAGTTTCATAACCATAACTAGGCCATAGGTCATCGTTGAATATCCAAAACAGGTTTGGTGCAGGATATCTAGGAAGTCATCAAAGGCCGGAAAGCTGCCGATAACGAAAAGGGAGTACCAGCTGTAAATTAGTATGTAATGTGCTGCTGTCTTCGGTCCAATGTTTTCGTTCTTCTCCATCTTCATCCGCAGAGCCATTTGCAGTTCCATGGCAAGCATTTGGATAACCACCGATTCGTAGGAGGTGCATGTAAGGGTGTAAAGGGTACTTAAATTGAAGAACACCAATTCATTGGCCTGCATACTGCGTCGATGCCAGAAGGCTACATAACCCAAGTAGATCCAGGACACAATATACATGACCCACGGATGCCAGCCAATTAGACTGTATTCAATGGCAGCAAGAAGCACGAAAACATTACTTAGCCAGGTGAGGAGATTTAGGTGTATCCCATTGGCCAACGGACGAAGAAGGGTAAGCAAGACACTAAACACAAAAGCTTTGGGCTGCGAGCAACCCAGCGATTCCGGTAATCCAGATACGACAGTAAGTCCAAAAAGTAAAAGTAGCCACACGTAGAATTGCGGTCCACGCTTACGGAAAGCCTCTCGATTACTATAGCCAGCGAATCCCAAGTAACCCACTGCCATGATGTATCGCCTGTGAAAGCCACCCAAGCAAATCAGGGTTATTAAAGCTGAGGAAATCAAACTCTTCCGGCACACCATTTCGGGTTTCTTGCGCAAAACGTGCAGCGTCACCTTCCAGTAGAGAGAAGGTAATAGTAAGATTACTTGCACCAGGAATGGTATCCTTTCGAGTAGCATGAAAATCAACAGCAGAGCGGTAAATAATCGATGAAATCCTATTGCGTGTATCAACTGTTTGGAATTAGTTTCTTCTGGAAATTCTATGTGGTTTCTGCCCTTTTTTCTAGTTGTTAGACGACAGCGCAGACAATATATCCACCCGATTCCAGCCAAACTCACTGCAATAACTTGAATTTGTCTGTAATAGTTCTTGAAATAATCCATTCCTTTGATCAGCACTGGCATAAAGTTGCAGCTATAGTCCAGAAGAGCCCTGAAACGACGCTGATTCTTAAGGCCCGTAGAATCCCGTAAAAAGCTGTCCATAATTTTAAAGTTAAGCCAAAATGCGGGTATCCTTTTGGGATGGAGTTCCCTCAAACGGCGGGCTTGAGCCAGAAGTTGCTTGGCATTGGTCAGCATGGCGTTGGCCTCGTAACGCAAACTGGCATTGAGCATACCTTTGGGCAGCATTCCGCGACTTTTTACTGGCGGTGGCAATCCAAGCAAGGCGCTCATAAGAGCTGTGAGGTGAGGAGGATTAAGGACATGCAAGGGCATTTTATAACCACTTTCATTTGCCGCAAAACTGCGTCCTGGCATGGATTTTATGTGAGCTACTCCAGAACCCCAGAGGAAGAAGGGAGATTCTACAGCCAGACTGCATTGGTCTAAAACCAGTATTTATATTAAATGGGTGTGTTTAGATGTTTTAATCAAATATTAATTAGTTAGTTAATTCTTACTTTTTGTATCGCTAAGATCAGAGGTAAAAAGGTACGCCGTTCTTTGGTCGGGAAAGGCTCGCTCAAATCTTTTGTAGAGGTTCCATACATTTTCTTGAATCTTTTGAAGTATTTTTCCAGATGGTTCTACACCGGTCATATGAACAAAAAAAATGATTCCAGTGGAATTTAAAAAGTCACGAGATTTGCCGTTAAGAAACCTTTTAACAGATCGACAAACATAATCTTCTACTTCGGCAAAGGATTGGAAACCGCCTGACTCAGTTTCAAAACTAGTTTCTATAGGTCTATTAAGTTTGGGAAAGCGTAAAAAAATATCCGGCGTGGTCCACCCAAAACTGTTGGTACACCGATCGAATATGGAGTCAATAGGGGCTGGCTTACCTAGCCACCCACGAATAACCCTTGCCGCGTCCTCATTATAGCCAGAAAACAATGAAATATATGGGGATATGGTGTTGTAGGTATCCGTCTCCGGACGACTAATCCCAACTAGACCCTGGTGCAAGAAGAGATTCCGAAGCAGTGGTACGTTTTTGCACTGGTTGGCCAAGAAAATCTGAGCGGACAATCCTTCTCTCAAGAAAACGACGAGGCGATCGGCAGGCGGTGGCTCCTTCAACGGCTCCATTTTCTGAGGTTCCAAGATGCCCGAGGATGTCGAACGAAGGTAAATCAAAACCACTGAGAAAACCAGAAGCAGCTGGAACGCTGCGAAACTAAGATATGAATTCAACATTATAATGTAAATATAATTTTCTTCAAAGTTTTCTAATATTCCTTTTCCAATTTAGGTTGCTACGATACAGTAACAGTAATTAATATAAAAAACACAGTTTTGTAATCAATTTATCCGTGATTTTTTGTGTCAGACTTAAGGTACTTTTTTTTGTTAACTTCTATTAAGCTTTAAAATTATAAACTTTTAATCCGTTTCCTAACTAAATTTATTGAAAATTTAGCTTCCAATTTTTGCATTTTTTTTATATTTTATTATCGAGGTCCCATTTCGAAATATTTCAGATATGAAGTTGGCTATCCTTCAAACATATTTCTGGTGCTCCTGTTCAATTTTTGCCAATGTGTTGTTTCTATTGAATCGTCGCTTCACATATCGAATATTTATAAAAGTAAAAAATCTGATGGAGATGTGGAAATCACAGATGGTGCTGGTGCAGGTACTGCTGATGTTGTGCGTGTTCCGCTTATACTTTCAGTCGGGACCGATATACCATTTGGAACCTCAGAAAACTCTGCCGGAAATGGGTCTACAAGCACCCGCCGATCGCCTGGTGGTCTTTCTTCTCGAAGGACTCCGGGCGGACGTGTTCTTTTCGCAAAACTGCAGTCGCTTTTCCTACTTTCGGGATCTATTACTTCGGGAAGGACTAGTCGGTATATCTAAATCTAGTGTTCCGACTCTCACTCGATCTGCAGAAGTTGCCTTATTCGCTGGATTCAATCAAATGCCTCCCGTTCTGCCGACTGGGAAATTCGACTCCATCTTCAATCGCACCTCAGCCTCCGACAGGGGGATGGTTCAAAGATTTTCAGACCTTTCAGATCTTCGAGTCAGCCTGGAGAGTAGTGCTTGCGTTAAATCTATGCAAAACGCAACTAGACTCTTAATGGTCGTATACGTGGACAATTTCGGTGGAGCTAATCCACAGGATTTTAATTATAAAAAGAATCTTCACAATACCCAGCGGAACATCCGGGATGCCTACGAAATGATTGAGAGTACCTTTGATGACAAGAGAACTGCATACCTTTTTACATCTGCCCACGGTCTTACCAATTTAGGTAAGTTCTTGATCAGTTATACTTCTATAGTTCCACAAAGTGGTATAATATTGGGGTTTCAGGTTCCTATGGCAGCGGGTCGGATGAGGAAAGGGATACACCCTTCTTTCTTTGGGGTGCCGGAGTTAATGGCAAACCCGAAAATATTACCTCAAATTATTCTATCAGCCATGGTGTTATCGTTCAGCTCCATAAGTTGGCCCAGATCCAGTTTGCTCCTCTTATGTCTGCCTTAATTGGACTGCCGCCACCGGTTCACAATCTGGCTAAGCTGCCACTGGGCTACATGAAGGTATCCCGGGAGTACGAGAGAAAGGCAACTCATTTGAATGCACTACAACTTCTAACCCAAACCAAGGCCATTATAAGACGTCATGAACTGGGAGTTTTCCACAAGTGGCTGCCGAAGTTCAATGATCTAGATCTGCAACGGATTGCATTTTATCAGAACCAGATGAACCACCTGTTGGACAACGGCTGGCGAAGCAGGGCGATGCAGACGAGTGTATTGGCAATCAAGGTGGCTCAAAAGTCTTTGAAGTTCTACTATACATATTACCATATTCCACTTATCGTGACAACGGTGTTGGCACTGCTGGGTAGCCAAATTTACCTGTTGATGAAGCTATCACGACATTCAACGGACTCCAAGATTCAGCCCAGAGGCTTTCTCACATGGAGCACAGTTCTACTAGTCTCACTGGGTATTTCCCTTGGTGAGCTAGTTTTCTTGCAATGGGCTCCAATTTCGACAATCATCTGCCTGTTGGTTCCCTTTGGCATCTGGAGCTTGGCCATGGCCGAGGTGCCCCAGAGCGGTTGCTGGGTCTTTAAACCGCTGAAACATTTACAATTGATAGTAGCTCCTGCTGCATCTATCATTATGGCGCTCTGCTACAGCTATCCCTTCGGTCTAGTATATCTTCTTTGCGTTCTCTGCCTCAAATCATCTGCATATGTCCTATCGCTTTGCCGTAACCATTCTACTGTATTTCTACGCTTCCCTGTTTGGTACTGGACATTGGATGACTAGCTTTACTTATTTGGCTAACACAGCGCGACTGTTCCTTCCGGATTCGTGCACTGCACCGATGCCAATTCTAGTGTTTATCCATTTGCTGATTCCATCGCTAATAATCCTGTCCAGCTTACGGGCACTGGGTTGGTTTGGAACAAAGATACATTCAATTTTTTCCAGTGTGATGCTCATATGCAATGCCGTCGTCATGTTCTATGTTTTATTTGTTCCCCATCACGAAAATTGGCCGGACACCCATCCAACTATAATTAATGCAGTATTCGCCCAATTGACGGTTATTATGCTCTTTTTCTGCGATACTGTTGTCTCTTTTCTCTTTCGGAATATCAAATAGATCAGACCTATATCGCCCTGCAATTGTCGGAAGAGATGTACATAAATTTGTTTCAAAATTATCTAAATGTAAAAAAATTAATGGTCTATAAGTCTAAAACTTTTTAAAGTTTTTACTAAACTTGTACCAAGTTAAAAATCTTTTAGATTATTAGGAGCTGTCTATCGTTCTTTTATTAACAAAACGAAAAGGCAAAACAGAGTTTTTTGTGAGACTCTGTTTAACACTCCATTGGGCTAACTCTTTATTTTACAAAATATTTTTAAGGATTTAAGGTGTTCATATAAGTATATAAGGTTCGAAGGCGTAATACTTTAAGTAGAAAATTATCTTAAATGCAGCTGGCTGGCTGGATTAGGTACAACTTTGCAGGCGCTTACAGCCAGAAAATGAGACCTTTTTGGCTTCTAATGTACTCGTATAAAGCATTTAACAGAACTTTAATCTACTCAGATTTGGGTTTCTTCGTTTCCAAATGGGCCTGCAAATTATATAAAATTAAATCAACTCTAAAACTCAGACAATATAGTTAAAACTCACCTGTTCGGCTACCTTGAGAAGGCTATCGAAGCTGTTTTGACCAGTTTCCATGACCATGCCATGGAAGATCTTTGTTTCGGTGGATGTGAGAAGTTCGTATGGTGAACCGAACTCTACAAGATGACCTGCGTCCATTACTAGAACACGATCCGAATCCATAATCGTGTTCAGGCGATGGGCTATAGTTAGCACTGTGCAGTCGCGGAATTTACTTCGAATTGTCGCCTGGATCAGGGCATCGGTTTGCGGATCCACATTGGCCGTTGCCTCGTCCATCACTAGGACACGATTCTCTCGGAGAATTGCCCTGGCCAGGCAAACCAATTGACGCTGCCCAACGCTGAAATTATTGCCACCCTCGGATATCTTGCTCTGCAGTCCATTGGGTAGTTCTGCAATGAGTGGTTTCAGCTTAACCTCCTCTAGAGCTTCCCATAGCTTGGCATCGTTATACTCCTCAAAGGGATCCAAGTTATATCGCATGCTTCCTGAGAAAAGTACAGGTTCCTGTGGTATAATGGATATCTTGCTGCGCAAGTCAAACAGTCCCATCTCAGCCGTGTCCCTTTCATCGATGGTGATGATGCCCTCATTGTATGATAGTCGGAAGAGAGCGTTGATTAGCGAGGATTTGCCAGCTCCAGTTCGACCAACAATACCCACTTTTTCACAGGGCAGGATATGGAAATTGAGTGCCTTAAGAACGTACTTAGCCTGCTGATCCGGGAAGTAGCGCAGACATAGATCCTCTGCTATAATCTCACCCTTTTCGGGCCAGCTCGGAGAGGGTTTCTTGCCTTCTCGTGACTCAAATTCGCCCTCCGGTTCGATTTCGTCGTATTCCACTACTCGCTCCACAGCAGTCATCGTATTCTCCAGTTCCGCCGATTGGCGCATTCCCCACTGCACCATTCCAGTCATACCCATCGCCTGGGTGATTGCCAATCCCACTTCTCCAGAACTTTTCGGTGGGTTTATAAAGTAGTTAAGAATTATTATCACAATATACAAGGTGCAGAAGCAGTCTAGGTAATAGCCAAAAGCTCGATTCGTCGCCAGAAAGGTGTAGTATCCGGAGCTGTGCAAATCTTGTAAATTGTCGAACTCCGCAATCAGTTCCTTTTGAGCTCCCAGAGCTCGGATTGTGGGCAAGCCGGTAATCGTGGCGCTCAAATGAGAATATATAGGTGATCTAGCCACAGCCTCTAATCTTTTCACATCTCTTGATGTCTTCAGGTAAAACTCTCTGATATAGTAGAAAATCAAAGCTAAGGCTAAGGTCAAAATGAGGTAGTACGGATTAGTGATGCAAATCACCACAATTATTCCGAGTAAAGTCAGGAATATTTGAATCACATCCAGCATAACAGTTGGCAGAATCTCATCCAATTGTCCCAGATCCTTGGAGAAGCGGTTGAGTATGCGTCCCGAGGGATTCGTGTTGAAGAAGTACATGGCTGCCCTTGTAATGCCCTGGTACATTGCGTTGTGCATCTGCGTGGAGCTTCGCATGGCCATTTTGTAGAACAACATGGTGCGTACTATGGTGAGCACCACCACGCCCATATTAAGAGCAGCAAAGAAGTACATGTCCTGTGGATCACTATTAAGATCCGTCTCATCGTACACTCTCTTATCTACCCTGTAAGTTTAATTTATGTATTAGTTAAAATTATCAGCTAAGAACAAACATCACTGACTCACCAATAAGATAAAAAGTAGTCCGCTGCTGAGGAGAGGATTTGTGTGGCCAAGAAGAGGAAGACAATAAAGAAGATCATAAACCAACTGCTTCCCGCTGTTAGATACTCCCTGTACAGACCCAGACCGATCTTGCCTTCCACTCGCGTCTCTTGCATCTGCATGGTCGACTCCTGGGCCATGGACTCCGCCATGGAGCTTAACGAGGTGAAGCTATTGTTTCGGGTGCTTGGCTTACTATTCCTACTACCCCTTCTGCTCATCGAAGGCACATTCAATAGGTCTGGACCATCTCCACCTGCCCCATCCGCTTCGTCCAGTTCTTCGTCATTTTTATTCGGCGCAGTCAGCAGCTGAGCAAAATCCAATCCACTTCGCTTCATCGATGAATACGTGCCCTTGGCACTTATACGACCCTTGTCCATGATGACTATTAGATCAGCCTGTTCCAGAAACTGCAGCTGGTGGGTGACCAGGATCACGAGCTCACTTCTCAAATAACCGCGCATACACTGATCAAACAAGTGGCGCCCGACGTGGGTATCAACAGCGCTGAGTGGATCATCGAGTAGATAGATATCTGCTCGCCGGTAAACTGCTCGGGCCAAACTAATCCTGGCCTTCTGCCCGCCGGAAAGTGATGCTCCCCGTTCGCCGACTATTGTCTTGTCACCGAAAGGTAATAGTTCGAAGTCCCTCTCTAGGGCGCACTTCTTTACCACAGTGCGATAGCGATGCTTGTCCCATTCCAATCCAAACAGAATGTTCTGGCGCACAGTGCCGGTAAAAAGCCACGGCTCCTGGGCAGCATAGGAATAACTTCCATTGACCCTCAAGGTTCCACTTTCTGACGGCAGTTCGCCGAGAACCGCTTGAATTAAGCTTGACTTGCCAGCACCTACGGGTCCGATGACGGCCACCAATTTACGACGTCCCAGCTGTAGATTGATATCCTCCAACGTGGGATCCACCGAATGGCTCTCCCACCGGGCCTGGAACTGGCTGAATTCGATTAAATTCTCTGAGGATCCATTGCTCTTAGGACTGTCTTCAATTTTGATTTCTGCCTTCGGGATCGGTATAATCGGGCTCTTCGACTTGTCCCTGACCTGGGTCTCTGGGCGATGCATAAATGTCTCCAATCTTCGAACGGAAACCAGTAGCTCGGCGAATTGGGAGATGCCTTGCGGGAAGAACATGGTCACTGAGCGACGCAGGATATTGTAGTAGGCAGTGACGAAGAAAGCCCTCTCAGCATTCAGGACATTCCCCAGCAGGACGAATGCAATTAAACTGGAAGCGGTGAAAATCCGCGACAGGAACATGGAAAACGACATTAGGATGCCGCGAATGTAGTTGACTTGTTTGATGGACAGCATCTCATTGAAGCGGGTGAGCTCCACCATCTTGCCGAATGGCTTCTCCCAGGCGTACATCTTGATAACCTGAATTCCCGATATGATCTCGTTCATCATGCGGACACGTTCGTCCGTTCGCAAAGCGGTACGCAGGCGCAGCACGCTTGTCCGTTTGCCAAGGTAGGATTGGAAAGGCAGGAACAGCAACATTATGGCCACCCCAAAGAGGGCAGATACGCCAATCTATAAAATAAATAAAAATAATTAGTAGATTATTCAGATAGAACTGTGCGGAACATTAAAGTTGTTTTTATATATTTGTCAACTACAACATTGCCCCTCCAAATTAGATTCACCTCCATTAGCTGGGCTTCCATATTTGCGGGCAACAATAAGTAATTAATAATAATAACACAACATTTATATTCAAGGCGAAAGCGATTGTTGATAGATATTTATATTTAATAACTGGACGGGGAAGTATAAAAGTTTTAGCGATGTGAAATTTTAACCATAAATAATTAGTTTCTGTAAAGCATGGCATACCCTTTGTTAAAAAGTTACTAGAAGACTTTGCTTTGCAATCCACAACAAAACAAAAATTTCCACTCATTTCATATAACTATATAACGATAGATGTGTGTTCGAGGGAGGGTCACTTAAAAGACCGAACTCTTAAAAGAGGCTTGGCTAGAAACCGGTTTAACTTTTTGAATAGAAACAGTCTCCGATTTCCTAACCACCCACTTACCTCAAGAAACATCAGGTAGGTGACTGCAATAAGTTCCAAAGGAGCTATCCAGAGGTAGTGTACGTTGATCAGAACCGTATCAAAGCGACCAACATCGTTGGAGAGAAGATTGACCACCTGACCGACTGTGGTGTCGCCCAGAGCAGTTCTACTCAGCCGGAGAGCCTTGCGATAGATAAGACTGCTGAGTGCTGAAACAGCAGAGGATTAATGGTCGGTAAGCCTTGATAAGGTAGAGAATTCCGCACTTACCAACGCGCATTTTCATACCCAGATGAAGTAGACCCAACATATAAGGATGACCTATGAGCACACTAAATACGGAACCGGCAATAAGACCTGCTGCATACAACTGGGCCTTTGTAAAATCCGGATCATTGCCCGCAAAATAAGCCATTACTCCAAACAAACAAATGGGCTGGGTGACTCTGAGATTGAATAAAGTAAACGGTAAGTATTCAGCAAGATGATCTATTTAGCAGATACTTACTTAGTTAAGAATTCCTGGGCAAATAGGCACATGCCCGTAAGGAACAACCGAAAGCCAAATACTTTTATTAGGGCGCGACCCAAATGTGGTGTCTCATTTTTGGTTAGCTGCTCATCCCAAGCTTTGCACAATTGATCTCCAAGAGAGTCTACACAGATTATCCAAATTAAAATGGTAAGATGATATTTCAGTAAATCAATTAACTTACCAGACTTGTGCTCTTTTAGGGCCCTATACAGATCCTTCTGCTCCAGAGTCTTCTTCCGCCCTTTAAAAAGCACTGGCATGGCAAAACTTCACGTAGAAGCAGCATCACGTAGGTAGATTTTATTGGAAGTACAATTAAAACATAATTAGCGAAAGGCTGCCTGTTATCAGAGACTTATACTGATAATTTTTTTGTGATGTTATAATAACCAAAAAATGAACAGACAAGTGACATTCCCGGGCTCTTATCAGTTGGGAAAAACGGTTGCTATAAGCTGAGTATGTCACGGCCAGAAGTCTTTAACGAAAATTAAGTTTTTCTAACTCGAATTCTACTGACAATAGAATCAACAATTAAACCTCTGTGTAATTCAAAGATAATGGGTTTATATACTATATTTCCTGAAAAAAAAAGTATCCCCCATAGTAATAGACTAGAGTAAACAAATATTTTCATAGAAAAAATATTTACTGACACTGATGCATCTATATTTTACGATAAGCCTGACACAAGTTCCCAGTGATTTTGTTTTTTTTTTGTACTTTTAAATGACCAAACAAAAATTCATTACGATTAATAAGTTGTGTGACATGCTTAGTAAAAGTAAAAGTTTTATTTTAAAGGGAAATCTTATCGGTAATCAGAAGTCTATATAAATTAAATTATGAATGGCATATTGTCAGATAGCCGTATCGAATAAGGAAGGTCAACACTTCTCCTAAAAATCTTGATTTTCCGATATTGTTAGAGTTCTGATTCATTTGACTATAAAACATTTATCGCCTAGTTAGATATCACCGTTGGATATCGTTGATAAAAATGCATTCAACTTAGCTTTTCCTCTGCAATAATGGCAGAAAAAATGTAGCTTAAGCAAAGTGTCACTTTCAATTGGTAGCCAATTGAATAAATCTCTGAGCTCCAGTCAAATGCAAAAAGATTTCCTCGCCTCGAACATGTAAATTAAACGAGCCATTGAATGAAATAATCAACTTGTCAGTGTTGTCAAGCCGTCTGTGCCCCAACCCCGTTTTCGTCATTCACAATACAACGAAAATATAGCACCTAAACTAGTCATCAATGGGGTAATTTTTTCTTATCATCACAGCTTTAATCACTCGTGTTTCCCAATAATGTTATGATTTTGGAGTATACGCGTAATGTGTATTAATTGATATTATTAAACCGGTATTAATAATTTTTATTTAGCATTTATTTGTTTATTAATGTTTGTCGCCATTAAAGCTTTAAACGAAGATTCAATCATATAAATGACTTAGGGGAATACACTAGAAAGTTCGAACTGCCAACCACTTATACTCACCAAAACAGTAGGGAGGAGAGGGGGTTGGAGCGTTCCCGGGGATTCTCCGGCAGTTCATCGGCTTTCATCGACTGCATGCTGATTGCACTGATTGGAGTTAAATTGTACTATATAGAATGTAGCATTACAAGGGACTCGTTTGGTCGCCGGGTTTGTCTTTGGACGACCGCGTTTGATTAGCACTTCTCAATCAAAAAATAGGAGACACGCGCTTGACTCTAATATAATTAGTTTGGTATTAGCCGGGGAGAAACCAGATGGAATTCGAATCAACTTTAAAAAATAATACAAATTCGATTTCTATTCGCGTTTGAAAAGAGTAAACTTTTCCACTGGCAGAGTACAGGTAATATTGCGTGGCATTTGATTTGGTATTTCACGTTTGCGAGTGCTGCGAGATCGGGTTAAAAAGATCACTTCACTTTAAGATTCTTCGTATGTATATCTATTTGTTACAACCGAATACGAATTTCATCATTGGTTGTATTAAGTATTTGTTGCTTTAGTTCGTAGCACATATAACTTATCGGGAACGTTTCGCAGTTCACATGGCAATACCCACTATTCTACACACGACTATGTGCTTGCTCCGACGGTCAGCCTCATTCTAATGTCTGGCTCTCCCGTGCTCCACCTTTAATACTTGCCCCACTGAGCTCTCTGCTTCTATTGTGTCTGGTTAAGATCGGACATATCTCTGCTGCTCTCTGTAGCTCTTTGTGCTCTTCAAAGTGTTCAACTCTTCGCTTTACGATCTCTTAATCCTTAGGTATTTCTCTTTGGGCCTTGCACTCTTAAGCTCTTTTTGTGGGGCTTAGTAATATCTTGTTTGAAGTGATAAGCAGGACAAATGGGTGGTTTTCTCGTTTTGCATGACACCTTGTTATAGTAATCAGTTATAACCAATGTGTAATAATGATAAGCATTTTTATCGGACCCGCCAACAATGTTGTCTCAAAAACAGTTCACTAGCTCTGTTCCAAATATTTATAATTTGTAAGTATAATATTAATATATTAAATTATTTTAAAAAAGAGATATTATGAGGAATGACAATAATTGTTATCTTAATTAACGGTTTTACATACGTAATTTAACTTCATTATCTTATAAATTATAAGATCGTTTTAGGAAGGAAACGTAATATATTATATTGCATACTTTGCGGCATTGAATTAATAAAAGATGACTTAGAGTATGCTATTAAAAAATGGTGGAGAACCAAGTGGTTTTGTATTCACCTTTATCAAGATAAATATGGGTAGGCTTTGTTAGTGTTTAAATTAGGCAAAAAATCTAGTAACAAATTTCAAAAAACACAAAATATATACATATGTTAATTTTTAAAAATAAATTGTGATTAAGGTAAATAAATATATTAGATTTTACTTTGTGTGTATGCAGAAATGTACATTTTACTTTTTGTTTCCCATAAATCTAACAATATCTTTAATGATGGTCAATGCAATTATAGCGGGTGATTGGCGATATGATCCCGGATTGCTAATTGAATTAATAAGATAACGCATAGCAACAAACAAAATCGGTATGCATAATATATAGGTGGGGCCTCCCACGGGATGGGCAGGCTTATTGAGATCGTGGGTAATCTCAACATTGCATTGGATGACCCTGGGTGGAAGGAAGTCCTCGATTAGATTACAATTCACCGCCGACTTATCAAAAGATTTTCATAAGAATAATATCCACAAATTGTGTCGAAAGTTATTTATACTCATGCACATGCTCACTTAGAAGTTCTGGTCATTTAATGGTGCCACTGACTCACAGTAAAGTGTCTACGAATTCGTTATAAATTGTGTGGGTTCACAGCTAAGACTCAATAACATGGATTAAGAATACTAGAATTTAAAAAATATTCTAAAATTTTTGTAAAATGCATGATGACATGATGTATCATACATTATGCGTTATCATTAGATTCTATCAATTCGTTCATTACTTTGAAGTATTATAAAAAAAATTTAGTTTACAAAGAATTAACTACCTAGGGTTAAGTGATTTATTCAATTTGGGTTTCCATATCTCTCAGGAAATTATCTATATTTAAGAGAAGTTTAAAGTTCGCGTATAAATGCAAAGTTTTGACTGTTTTTGTGAGACTTATTGCAATTTCATTGTCATCATGACAATGTAGTGTCCGTTATTAAGCCGGTACCTTTGAATCAATTAAGACTGCAGCCAATTGATCACGACAAGGTGCCAAGAGGGGCTGGTCCGACCCAGAATCAGTCTGGGACTCAGTCTCAGAGACTGGGTAATAGTAACACGTCGGACCCATTACTCCATAGTTATTGTACGGAGGGCAACATCCGGAGAGGGGCCAATGTGCGGTGGCTCTAGTCTATAGCTATGGCCATACATAGAACCGTTAAAAAATATTTTGGAGAGAGCCTAAAAAAGCTGTTTTATGTAAGAGCGCTTTATGTTTGGCGCCGACATTTCGATACCTTGGTGGCTGTACTTGGTTTTGCATCTGGTAATCCGATGCCACATCATTTAATGTTTCCGCTTATTCTCACAAGCATCAAAAAACAAAAAACAAACAAACAACAAATTCAAAAGCCGTGCAACACTGAGCTGAGAGAGAGAGAGAAAGAGAAATGGCGAGAGAATAAATTTCTCGCATCTGGCAACGACGCCAGCGTAGCGTGAGAGTATAAAAAAGCCGGCACATTGTGAAGCGCTTTATTCGCTCCGAAAACTTTCAATAGTGAATATCTTGTGCAGACCACAGACCAAATACCCTACAACAAAATGTCTTTCGTTGGCAAGAAGTACAAGCTGGAAAAGTCCGAGAACTTCGATGAGTACATGAAGGAGTTGGGTAAGTAACATCCCCATGAAGTGTCAAAAAATCCGAAGAGTTATGCATCAACATTTGCAAAGAAAACTTAAAAAGTGCTCAAAATAAAGAGAGAAGGGAGAGAGAAAAAGCCGAAAACACGCCACCGAAATCGACCGGCCGGCATTTTTCGCACTTGTGTGCAAAAAAATCATTGGTGGGGGGAAGGTTGCCAAGTTCCCCCTACTGAAAGTTATTATAAAGACCGTAATACCAACTTAGAGTAATGAATGAATTCCATTGTTAATACATTTTTACTGCATTTGAAAAGTTCCCCGCTCCTAAAAAAACCTTCTTATCGTTGTGAGATAAAAATCAATAGAGAGCTTAAAGAGAAATGCACAAGATGCGAAAAAACGTGTTCCAAATTTTACTCCCTACCTCCCTTTTCAACTTTACAGTTGCGAATCAGATCGTAAAATGTATAAAATCCGTTAAAGCTTATCTGCGGGAGTCAGTCATAAACCCCAAAAAGTAATTAAGTGTGTTCTCTGAACTTTGGTCTCCTATTTTTGACTCACTTCTGTCTGTTTTCTATGGGACAAACATCATCATGACATTAGCTTTTGCGACAGGTGTCGTATATTTGTGTACTAGATTTTGGGGAAAGTTTCCCACTGAACTTTGTACTAAACAACAAGCTTTATAGCTGCGATCTTTGCTCTAGCTGCTAAATAAAGATAATTTGATGCATTAAAATATAAGAAATTTTCATTCGTTTATTATTTATTATATATATCTTATAAAAACATATTTTCTGTTAAAAATATAATATAAACCAAACAAAACTTTTTCGGTTCCTGTCTAGACGCCTCTTAGAGGAGTCCCTTAATCGGGAAATGGGATACATTTGGAAACCGGAGATGGCGCGACACTTTGAGGTCCGGATTTATTTACCAGACCTCAGTTAGCCAGAACTTTTCGCCTACACTTTGCGGTTTCGGTTTTAATGCTAGAATTGGTCCCAGAGCCACGTACTTCTCAATTTTCAAACCCAAACAAATTCAAATCGAACTGTCGTTGGGGCCTCGCAGCAGTTATCAGCTGTCGTCGTCTATAAATGCGATAAACTATATGCCTATATATACATATATATGGCAATGCGAACAATAATTAGGCGCGATTACGGATTTTGCACTTTGGGCAGTCAGCCCTATCATAGACCACAGTTCGTAATTGCAGGCCAGTCTAATCTATTCAAGGTTCTCCTGTCATATACGGTGCATATAAATCGATCTATGGTACAGTTGCTGGGTTCCCATGAGTGGGAACTTGGAAACTTATCGCACGATGGCAGTTGACACTTGACTTGAGGGGACTTGACAAAAGTATAAGCTTGTTGTGGAGTCTCCGGTCCATACATAATTGAACATAATTGATTGGGACCCCTTGATGGTTTGATGGCTGAACAATGCTCTAGATTCGGGATAATGCAGGTCAGAAATTTTATTTTTTTTGGTTGCTCATTCAATAATTGCAATGCATATATTCTGCTGATTTACGACAGCAAATTAGAATTCATTTTTAATTTGTATTGTTTTGTATGACACAACTTTTCATATAACTAAAGTTTGATAACAAATTGCACAGAAAGTATAACGTCTTTATAAAACTTATAATTCTAAACATAAAAATAAATTTCGAGTAAGCATGATTCATGAACTTAAAGTGGTTTTATAAATATTCGTAATTATGAATCCCATAAAATCAAGTACCTAATGCCATTAACTATTTGAACACGATTTAATGATTTTATTTTCCTGGCTTATCTTTCTATGATGTTATTACCTGCATTATTTCATTGTAATTATCAGCACTTGAAACGTTAACGATTCACAAGTTTGAGGGACTTTATATTGACCAATTGAATCTGTGAAATTGTATAGAAAATAATAAGAATCAAGCTCTGATTGCATTTCTATTCAAATTTATCCCCTGCAAACGATATGCTAACGTTTATACTCTTATAATATATATGGGATGCAGCACTGAGATAAGGTGGTGCCTCTCCCGATCTATATATAGAGGGCTTGCCAATTGATAAGCCCGGAGACAGCGGAGGAGGCGACAGCCCGCATTGTTCGTTAACCTTGAGCACGACTTTTGACGTTTCAACTGAGTCTGCAGGGAACTTCATGACATGGCTTTATTATTTTTAATTAAATATGATATGATTTGCATTGTGACCGCTGCTTTTGGGGTCCCCAACTTTGTTGGGCTAATTCAATTATGTGCAGTCTGCTCATAATTCATCTTTCATTCCGATTTTTGATTTCTTTACTTTCCCATCGCATATGTTTTACTTATTTCTGAATTTGTTTTATTCTACTTGCAGGCGTCGGTCTGGTGACTCGCAAGATGGGCAACAGCCTGAGCCCCACCGTGGAGGTGACCTTGGAGGGAGATACCTATACCCTGACCACCACCTCCACCTTCAAGACTTCATCCATCAGCTTCAAGCTGGGCGTTGAGTTCGACGAGGAGACCCTGGACGGTCGCAACGTGAAGAGCATCATCACCCTGGATGGCAACAAGCTGACGCAGGAGCAGAAGGGCGATAAGCCCACCACCATCGTCCGCGAGTTCAACGACGGCGAGCTGATCACCGTAAGAATAATCTATTGCCTATATCATCACCCTCTCACCTAACTTATCCCACTACCTTTCCCCACAGACCCTCACCATCGGCAGCGTGAAGTGCGTGCGCGTCTACAAGGCCGTCT